AGAGCCACTGAGCGGGGAGGGGGCGACCCCGGAGGTCTCTGCCCACCGGGCTGCAGTCACCGCTTCTCAGAGACGGGCCACCCCCCTCCCACCCTCCGCCCACGGCTCAGGTGCGGGCCCTTCCCCGGGACAGCGCCGGCCCCCAGGTGGAGAAGGTTCCTTAAGGGCCTCTTTTCTCCCCTCCATCACAGCTGGGAACGCGGGGCACACTGCAGGGCTTGGCTGGGACAGAGGGCGAGCTCAGGCACATAGTAGGAGCTCGATAAATCTCTGGTAAGTGGCCCGGCCGGCGTGGCTCAGTGGTTGAGCGTCAACCTATGAACCAGGAGGTCAGGGTTCGATTCCCAGTCAGGGCACGTGCCCGGGTTGCAGGCTCTGTCCCCAGTGGGCGGCGGGCAGGAGGCAGCTGATGGATGATTCTCTGTCACCATCGATGTTTCTCTCTCTCTCTCCCTTCCTCTCTGAAATTAATAAAAATATTTTTTAAAAAAGAAAGAAAGTTGTACTTTCCCACAGAGTGTCCAGGCTGGAATGCTGTCCACAGCCCTTAAGGACCTGGGGCCGCTGTCCGCGGTCCTGACCACCTGGCCGCTGGCGACGGTCCAGTAAGCCAGATTGGGGTGGGGGGCGGTCTACCTCCAACATTTTGTCCCAGCAGCCTCTCCTGGATTGGATGCGTGTTCTGTTCCTCTGCCCTTTCAAGAATAGGTCCCCCCACCAGTCCCCCTCCCACTAGCACCTTGGGTCAACAGGTGGAGCACGTGAGCACCTATGTGGCCACCGTGGTCCATCCCTGTGTCCCTCCTGTCCTTGCCCCAGTGAGATGGTTCGCTCTCCACCTAGAGAACAGGGCTGGGAGGAGGGGTGGGGTGGGGAGCAAGCTGATGGACTCAACAGAGAGCCAAACAAACACATCTCTGCTCTCACCTCCTCCTTCTCGCCGCCCTGCAGGTCTCTCCACTCCTCGATGGGCTGGCCGAGGTCCACCGTGTTCATGGGCACCTTCACCTCCCCGATGATGTCGTGCTTGGAGAAGCGGTCGAAGTCGTAGATGGCCATCACCAGGGTCTTGCCCCCCAGCTCCTGGTACGGCACCTGCAGGGCACAGGCGGGATCAGAGCAGATCGGGGCGGCTCACACACCTGCAGGGGCTGCTGTGGGCCGGGCCCTGGGCCCAGCGTTCTCCCCGCTGCCCGCGGGACTCCCGGTGAGGCCGTGGAGACGGAGGGAAGACCCGGGCTCTGGGGGAACAGTTGGGGTTGTGGGGGAGGCCCGATCCAGCCGCCCTCGTTCCAGACTGAGTTGGTTCCGTGAACTCAGCCATGGCACGGAGCCGGGAGAGGGGAGCAGGAGGCAGGCGGGCCTGGGGTCCGCCCTCCGGCCCTCGTCACCTTGAAGGTGAAGGTCTCGTTGAAGGCGGGGTTCAGCGTCTTCCGATGCACTTTGGTCTCGTATTTCTTCTTCTTGTCTGGGAGGAGGAAGACTTTGACGTAAGGGTCTGAGGTGCCTCCCATGTCCAGGGCGGGCAGTTCTGCGGCCTGCAGCACGCCGACGGTCAGCTGTGGAGACAAGGGGCCGCGGGGTCTCAGGGCCGCCCCTCACCCCGCTCTGCCTGAGCAGCACCAGAAACCCTCCCAGAGGCCAGGGTCGGGGGGAAAGCTGGGGCAGGAGAAGGATCGTCCCCTCTCCACCCTCAAGAACTCGGGACAACACAGGGGTCACCAGAGTTGAGAGACCACCGACTGGCCCAAGGTCGGGTGGGTTAATGGAGGGAGTGGGGACAGGGGTCCTTCCAGCCTGCCCCTGCGTCGAGAGGGGTCGTTTCTGTCCTCTGCCGCCCGCCTCCAGCCGCCCACCTGGTTGGCCTGGAAGTCGTAGTCCAGGGAGAACTGCAGCTTGCCCAGGTTCTCCGGCTCCTTCTCCTCCTCGCCCTCCCCCTCCCCCTCGGTGAGGCCGGTCTCTGCATCGTCATCGTCCTGCGGGGGCTGCGGAGAGAGGGACAGAGTTAGGAGAGGACAGGGCGGCCCGGCCCAGCACAGGGGCCGTGGGAAGAGGGCCTCTGTGCAGACTCCAGCTCAGAGTCAGGGGAGGGACAGGGACCGGAACTGTGGGGGCGGGCAGTCCCCCAGGGCCCCGCTCTGTGCCTCTCCCCTGCAGGACCCAGCATCTCCCTTGTCAGCCCTCCCCCACCGCCCTCATACTTGCTCCAGCTCAGGCCCCACACACCCCGGGCAAGACTTACCGGGCAGGCGAGCAGGAGCAGGGCGAGTCCACAGAGGTGGGGAGAGAGGGAGAATGTGGTCAAGAGAAAAATTCTGCGGTCACAGCCACTGAAGGGGGGGCCTCCCAGATGGGGGACCTGGCTGGACTGTGTCGGGGCATTCTTGGAGCCCCCATGCCCCCCCACTGCAGGCCCCTTCCCCCCATATGCATGTGCACACATATACACACGTGTGCGCACATGCACGCATGAGCAGAGGTGTATTGTGCACGTACACACATGTGCACACAAACACACACAGAGGTATTTGCTTCCTCCACTGTCTACCCTCCCCTTGGGTTGACTCCTGAGCAGGAAACTGCTCCCGTCACCCCCGGACGGTGGGGGGGCCTCGCCGGGCCTCTGCAAACTTCTAAGGGGAAACCTGGGTGTGTGAGGACCTGCCAGCTGACCGGCCCCAAAGGACAGGGCAAATGATGACAGGACTGCACTTGGCCTTGTCCAGTCCCCATCCCACCTCCTGCTAGAAGCTGTGGGACCTCCGACAGGAGCCACAGTTCACTCCTGGGGTGGCCTCCCAGATGGGGGGTCTCCCTCCAACATTTTGTCCCAACAGCCCCTCCTGGGGTCGATGCATGTTCTGTTCCTCTGCCCTTTCAAGAACGGGTCCCCCCCACCAGCCCCCCTCCCACAAGCACCTTGGGTCAACAGGTGAAGCCGCAGACGTAGCCAGTGGGGACCGTGCACAGTCTGGGGGGGACCCCGGTGGCTGCAGAGCCCGGTGGCCCTTGTTTGGCCTCCGAGGGGCAGGAGTACCCTCCCCTCCCGTGCCCGCCACACCCCCCATCCTACCTGCCCGCCCTTCATGTCCTTCATGCTCATGGCATTCTTGGCGCCCTTGCCCTTCTCCTTCTTGTTCTTCTTCTTCCGGCAGCAGCACTTCTTGCAGATGCAGAAGCAGCAGGTGAGGAGCAGGAGGCCGGCCACCACAGTGATGGCTATCAGCGCCCAGGGCGGCACTGCCCACGGGAGAGCCGGACGTCAGCAGGGCCGGCCCTGGGTGGGGACGGTGGCCCCTGCCCAGCCCACCCTGTCCAACCACACGCTCGGGCGCGATCTTCAGGGAAGTTGCATGTGCTTCACCTGCCTTATCATGGGTACCTGGCCCACGGCCCCGTGGACACGCCTGCCAACGGGGAGATGCCTTCGAGCTGAACGTGCCGGGTGGTGAAGTGGACTCTACGAGTGTTGACCAGTCTCACCCATGGAGAACTGGTCGGATTTGCAGAGGGTGGTGTGGTCCTCGGACAAGGTGGGAAGATCCCACAGAGTGCCCAGGCTGGGATGATGTCCACGGCCTTTAAGGACCTGGGGCCGCTGTCCGCGGTCCTGACCACTATGTAAGCTGGTGAGGCTGAGTGTGGCCTCTGTGTCTCCCACACAGACTTAGCAGGAAGTCACAAGGCAGGGGCACCATAAGGTACAAAAATGTCCATCACTGCCCGCCTGGTGCGGCTCAGTGGTTAGCATTGACCTAGGAACCAGGAGGTCACTGGTTTGATTCCCAGTCAGGGCACAGGCCCGGGTTGCAGGTTTGATCCCTGTGTGGGGCGTGCAGGAGGCAGCCGGTCCATGATTCTCTCTCATCATGGATGTTTCTCTCTCTCTCTCCCTCTCGCTTCCTCTCTGAAATCCATTTTTTAAAATATATATTCTTTAATATTTTGTTTTCATCTTTTGACAGTTTTCTAAATTGTATAGGAACCTGTTTCCCTGGGAGGTTGGGCCTTATATACCCCCTGCTCGCTTCAGTAAGCCAGCCCACATTCCCCATTATCGACAGAGCGCCCCAATAATACAGCCTAAACCCGGTTCAGGAAAGAACCCAGCCAATCGCGCCCCTGGGCACTCCCCACCCCCCACCCACACCCAGCCTCGGGGACACTCACGGGGGATCTTGTTCATCTCATTGAAGAATTTCTCCTTTATCTTGGCAAACATGTCCTCCTTGCTCCCCCCGGCACCCTCACTCTCGGTGGAGTTGCCCACGGGCCCAGCGGGCATGGTGGCTGTGGTGGTGGCCGGCGCCGCCTCCGGCTGCTGGTTCTTCTTGAAGATATTCCACATGGTGGCCGCGGGGGTGGCTGTGGGTGAGGGGGGGGGCAGGTGAGCAGCCAGGGCCCCCCCAGTCCTGTGGCCAAACACCAGGGCTGCGTCCCCTCGAAAGCTGCGTCCTCCCTGACCACTCGGAGCCTCACACCTACTGTTCTCTGGACCTGAAACGCCCTTCCCGCAGACCCCACGGGGCTCACTTCCGCTCCACGAGGTCCCCTGGGACTGCCAGCCCCCCCCCCCCTTCACTGCACTTGTCACCGACAGGCCGTGTTTTAGTTGTTGTCTGCCCTTCGCTGGGATTTAAGAACCATGACTGAGGATCTTTGACCGCGCGTAGTAGGTGCTCAGGGACATACGTGAGGAACAGGCAGGTCAGAGGTCTGGTCTGTGCGATGCCGTGCCCTCTGGCCTCCTAGCCCTTGCCCGGTCCTGAACGATGGTGGTGTCAGCAACTTAGGTTTAAAAAACAAACAAACAAGTGTCAGCCCAGCCGTTTTGGCTCAGTGGATAGAGCGTCGGCCCATGGACTAAAGGGTTCTAGGTTCAATTCCCGTTAAGGGCGTGTACCCTGGTTGGGGTACATGTTGGAGGCAACCAATCAACGGGCCTTTGTCACATCCACGTTTCTCCCTTTGTGTCTCTCCCCCTCCTTCCACTCTCTGAGGCCGCACAGCCATGCTCCTTCCCCACAGCACCGCCACCTCCACCCCAGGACGAGTCGCTACCCAGGGCGCAGGGTGCGGGCATCGGGGCAGGAACCCAGCAAGAAGGAACAGCCAAGTCCCCGGGGCTGGGTAGCTGCCCGGCCCCCCTCGCCGCTCAAGCTGCACTCCTGGGGAGGCAGCGGCTGGCAGAGCTGAGGATGATGAATGACCGGGGGCTCCAGGGGCCCTGAGCAGAGTGAGCACCTCTGTCTGCTCAGAACTGCCCAAGCGGGAAAGCATGAGACAGGCCATTAGAGATGCCGCGGGTGCTGGGCCCGGGCACGTGGAGGCACCTGCTCGCTGGCCTGCAGGTCTGAAGAGGGTGGCAGGGCCGGGTGAGGCGGTAGGTGCATGCGGTCCTGGCACACGTATCTCTGAGCTCTTGTGAGCGGCCACGGGAACCAGCCACGTGTGGCCTGGGGTGGGTAAGTGGGTGTGACCACCTCTCTGCCTCGGACCAACTATAGTGACCAACTACGCCTCCCCAGGGCCACGCCTCCCCGGGGCCACGCCCCCAGGGCCCTCCTAGCAACACGCAGGAACATCCCTTAACTCCAAACACTCAGAACGCTCAGAGCCCAGCTGTAGTCCTGGGTGGAAACGAATGGAAACTCCACCAACCACACCTGGCAGGTGGGCTGCAAGGGAGTTAGACTAGAGACAGGGATGTGACACCCACGCCCACACTCACCACCACCTGTCCCCCCAACCAACGACCAGGATGTGGGGACCACGCTCCCACGGACGGTCCCCTTCAGGCCTGGCCTCAGACGACGCAGATAACAAGGAGCTACTGGACACAACGTGTTTCATCTTCCCGACCTGCATTTGCAGACACCACGCTAATGAGATGGAAGTAGGCTAGCCAGCAAGATGCCTCTCGCAGGAGCGCACAGGCTAGCAAAGTTCAACCCTTAAGGATGAATTTATGCCGTTATTTTCCGGACCCAGGGGTCCCGGGAGACGGGGGATAAAGTTTTCATGAATTCATTTCCGGGCACGTTTCGATAATGAATTGCCCGTGTCGGTGAGTTCCCTGTGTGCAGAGGCCAGTGCGTCTTCCCGGGCGGGACAAGGCGGCCGCTGTGGCCACTGAGGGCTGGGAAGTCCTTCCTGAGACTAACTTCAATCTCTCCTGCTGCGACAACTCCTTTCCCTTCTCTTGCATCGAAGCTGCGCTCAGCAACCCCAGGCCCTTTGAGAGGAGGCCGGGCGGAGGCCTGAGGCTCGGAGCGGAAGGCCAGGTGCCTGCCTGGTTCCCCGGCCCAGCCACCCTCTGAACCTCTAAGTGAGGGTTCGCCCTCCTGCTCTGCAGGCCTGCAACCCTCAGCCCCACACGCCTGCTCTGGGGGTTTCTCTCTGAACCCAGATGTTGGGAGCCGGTCTTTTTAAACCGCAAAGTCCTGGGTTGTGTGAGCTCGGGGAACCTGCAGAAAATGCAGAGCAAACGAAGAAACTGAGGCCCCAGAGGGACGCGGGTCCCGGCCCATCACAGGAGTCACCTGCTGAATGGGGCACAGCTCTCCCACCCCCGCGTCCTGCTCTCTGTAGCCCCTGCGAGCCCTCTTGTGCTGCTCATCCTTCGCCAGCTCTGTGGGTACAGGGGTGAGGGGCAGGGGCGCCCCAAGGCTACCCCGCAGGACCACAGCTTGCACCGGCTGTACCGCATGCTCTACTGGAGGGGAAGCTGCTGAGTCACCGTCCACCCGGCTGACCAGGGAGCAGCCTGCTGGGGGTCCCCCACTGCCAGCTCAGGGCCCCCCTGCTGCCCCCATGCCTTCCCCCCAGACTCAGAACACTGGGCTTTCACCGGGTCCCCCTGCCCAGCAGCCTTTTCGGGGTCTCCCACTCCTGCAGGCAGGGTCTTTTGGGGACCAGTGCCAGGATGCTCGGGGAGCAGGCTGGGAAAGGTGGGGATCCCAAATGGGTGACTGAGTGGGGACCCATGAAAGCTTGGAGGTCAGTGGGCCCTGGGCTGCCTGCCATAGGTTATGGAAAGTGGGGGAGGGGGTGCACCCTGGGACCTGGAGGTCTGCTCACCTGTCATGGGCCTGGGGGCGGGTGGTGAGCTGTGAGTGTGAGGCAGGGGTGGGCTGTGGGGGCGTGGCCCTGGTTACGCATGAGGGGGGCTTGGGAAGAACTGGGGGGCAGGATGGGGCTTGGCAGGGACAAACCAATGGTCACTGCTCTGCCACCCTGGACGCCTGGGGGAGTCCGGCCGAGGAGGACACGAGGAGGACACAGCCTGTCCCTGCTCCTCCCAGACCAGGCCGCCCCCGGGGGAGACGCCACTCACTCAGGAGATGCCCATTACTGCCCGCCTCTGACAGGCTGTGGTCTCCGGGAGGTAAGTGGGTCAGGCAAGTCCTGGGGGCACAATTACATTCCAGGAAGAAGCCGACTTCCTCCCCCGACCACCTGGGGGCAGGAACAGGAAAC